TTTAATTTGTTAATATAAAAGTAAATATTTAAAAAAAACAACTAAACATCCAATTTTGTGTGTCACATGGTATGCTGAATGCAGCAGTGGTTCAAATTAAATGTTTGTGATGTCAAAATACAAATTAGGAACTCAAATTACCACTATTCACAAGCTATAATATAAAATAAGAACCTCCTATCTTTTCTGTTTGCTGAGATATTGCTCATGCACAGAATCAAATGCAGTGGCCCTGCTCACCTTTTTCCATATTTGGAAATGGTCTCTTATATATACATCTGAATATGACATGTAAATAATCAATCAAAAACTCTGAATGTCCCCCCTAGTGTCTTTCTCAGCCATTTACAAATATCACAGCAATATATCTTTCTTTTGATACAAGATGGCATAGAGGTAAGTCGAATACTTAGTCTGCTCTAAATTTCATATTTTTTTTAGACCCAAATACAGCTTAGTTACTAATTGAGTTCTGTGGTATCGATATAGTTATTAATTATTTTTTGGTTCTTCAAATGTATATATATAAAACCAAAAAAAAAATGATTTTGTTTGCTTTACTTCTTTATTTAGTCTTCTATATTTTAAGAAAAATAAGTTTAAGAAGTTATTTGTAAATAGTCACAATCTACATACATATATAATGTATAATAATTGAAATGTGACTGTATTTTACTAATCCACTAAAACACAACCAAGACAGATCACTTTGTAGAGACCAAAGGTCAGTTTTATATTATTGGATACAGTAACATTAGTGCACGTGAGTTGCATCATTGTAACTTCTGTATTGTTAGCCAGGCACGGCTGAAAGATCAATATAATAAAATTAATAAATATATATATATAAATGTATAATGTTATGAGATTTAAGCTATTTAGTCTAAACATTTAAGTTTTCGTGTTATAATTAGTAGTCAGTCTAGAAAGAAAAAGTCATAATTTATATTTATTTCCTAATTTTTATGGTGGTTATGAGATCAGTTAAATCGACCAAACCTGCACAGATATTCATTAGTGAAAATAACAGATAAAATATATAGTTTTTTCTTAAGAAAAGTATAACAACTATCTGGACATTATAAGGATTTTACATGTGAAATTTGAAAATTTTCTGATGCATAAAAGTATTTTTAATCTTAAAATACATGTTGATAGGCAACATGCAAGAAGAAAGAAAGGCATGATAAAAACATTGCTTTAGAAAAAATCAAAATTTAATATCTTATTTTTCAAAAACTACATACTTATAGGACCTCTCATCTCAATTTAAAAGACTTTCATTCACTAGTTTCACTTTTGTAAAGAACTATCATGAGAGTTGCATACCTACTTACATTGTAAGTAGGTCATAGTCAAATGGTTAATGAATGTTTTATATTGTGAAATCTCCTGTTTTCTGAATCCATTAACCCTTTTCTGGTTAGTGTTGGTAATAAGTTTGCATTATTTCAAAGTAATGGCTACAGAAAGGATGCTAACATTTTAGGAAGTTTTCTCTGACATGTAGTCCATTCTACTGTCAAAAATAGTAGGAAAGCTACACAAGATTTCTATATAGTGAGATACTTATAATAAAATGTGAAACTTAGCATATCTAAAAAAATTTACCATTTTATTTCATTGATGTATTTTATATGATTCATCCACTTTTTCTCTAACTTTCACCTATTGGTGGTAGGTTAGTAGACCAAGTCTTGAAATAATTCATCCGCATTTTCGTAAAGCAGTTGATAGCTTGAAATGTAAAAAAAAAATACTTTATCTCTGTTCAGATAATTTTTTTATTGTTTTTAATACTCAGAACTTTAATGGTTTTGTTCCACAGCTTCTTAATAATGTGACTAAAGAACATTTTTCATACAAACAGAGTGGTATTTATCCATGAACAAAGAATATAATTGATAGACTTTTTAAATAATAAAAGAAGCACCTTTACATGTTTAAGAACTTTCTCAAATTACAGTATATCTCTTACTTGGGTTAAGTTATTGATGAAGCTGTATTTCATAGTTCATTTCAGGAACACAAGTTTTTAAAAATACACTTGCTCTTGCATTGGCTTATTTCAGGTTTGGTTTATGTCAATGGAACTCAACCATAAAGTGTTGACTGGATTTTTTTTATTAACTGTTCAGTAATTTCTTTATGACAGAAGCTTGATGAGCTTAGTCGTCAGTTAACATTTTTTTAAATTGATTTTAAACTTGTTTGAATTATTTTCTAGTGGAATTCATGCATTACGTGATAGAGTCCAAGTCTCTACGGAAAGTGTTCATTTCCATCAAAGGTTACTATTATCAGGCTGAAATAATGGGACAGCTGGTAACATGGATTGTCCCCCACCCATTAAGCTACTGTGTAAGTTTACAAATATTTTAATACCTTTTAGAAAAATAAACTTCAGTGACCTTTTTCCATTCAGATACACTTATTTAAAGATGCAAACAGATCACTTGTCTTAAAATCACTAATATATTTGATATCTAAAAATACTTTTTTTATCAAATAGATAGTATTAACTGTAGAAGAATAATGATACCATTGTAGAAGTATATAGTATTAACTGTAGAAGAATAATGATACCATTGTAGAAGTATTAATAAAGAAGTTCAAAGGATTGTGTTCCAACAAAAGAAAAAATGAGAGAGATGTTTGTAAATTCTTTTACCAGCCAAATAGCAACAAAAGTTTAGATTAGTAATGGACATAGAGTGATACAAGATGTTTATCATATAGCTACTCTAATTCATTTACTCACTGTAGGCATGTCATCAGTAGTGTGTGGATAGTTTAAGTTAATTTTTTTCATATATACATTTATTATACTAAAAATAGTTCTCTGTGTTGTACAGACCAGTTTAAGAATATTTGTTGAACATAATTTTGCTCATGAAAAGTATAAGTCAAACATATCTTTTTAACAGACAGATATATATGTTTTTGTAGCATCCATCAGATGTGGATTTCAAAATCATGATTACATTCACAGAGTTTTACACTACAATGCTTGGCTTTGTCAATTTCAAACTCTTCCATTCAATAAACCTCTATTACCCTCCAAAGGTAAGAATATTGTACAACTGAGTAAACTATAGATGTGGATTTTTATGAATGTTTGAACCATAGATTTCAATATGTAAGTTATTAGTTTATATGAAACATTTGGTTCAACTAGAAATCTTTGGAGAATTTTAATGTCAGTCTGTTCAGTTGTAAGCTTATTGTTAATAATTACCTGCTTTTTTAAACTGAAAAATTTCATCTATTCTTTTATCCACTCAGTAATGTAATTTTAACTAAATCTTTATCAATGCAACAATATGGAATACTGCATTTTTATTTAATCAGTTATGCTAAGCTAGCAGTACAGTATTCACTAAAGTTACTTATTGTTTATGTAACGTAGGTCTGTGAGGCATAAAGAAGTTATTTGTCTGTTTTTACTCAGCATTTATATTTCCTGTCTCATAATTAGCTAAACTACATAAATTTTTTTTCATTATATTTATAAACTGAAAATTCAATCATTGTCTAGTTACAAGAAGATTTAGCTTTGGAGGATGACTCGGAACTATTTGATAGAGATGACCTAATGTCTGAGGTTGGTAATGATTTTATAACAAAATAATTTGTTTTGATAAAAACTGGTTAAACCATTTAAATGATTGAAGTGAAATTACTAATCTACTTGAGAATGATAGTCTTAATTTTAAGATCAGAAATGTGTTCATATTACACATATGTATGTGTGTGTGTGTGTATACACATATATATATTTGTAAAATTAGAAAACAAATTTTAGAAAACCTAGGTAGCCTTTAATTTTATTGAGTGAAACATTTTACATTTGACAACTAGGCTTAAAAACCATTTTCTTGTATCAGTTTTTTTTTTTCAACATTTTCTAATGGTGACAAAAAATGGAAATAACTGAGTGCATGCACAGTATAATTTTTTACTTATTTTTATGATAATTAATTTGAGTCTTACTGATTCTTCACTATTTTAATTATGCTTTTTACTGAGTTTATATCCATTATTGGTTTTACTGTATTTTTTAAATTGTCAGTAATACTGTCAGAATTTAGGAAAAGAGAGTGAGAAGAAAAAATAGCTTTAATTTTAACTAAGTAGTATAGAAATGTTACC